TAGTAGGTGAACGTAAGAAAGAGATAACATATGCAACAGCATCTCCCACTCACTTCAGCTTCTCCAGATGGTTGCTCTGTGGGTCTGTGGGCTGAAGGGACACCAGCCACCTCCTGAATCCAGCTCTGGCTGCAGAAGCTGGGCTTCTTAGGATGTGTTGTCTTCTCTGGATTTGAGGTCTCACCAGCAGGCCATGTATGAGGTGGACAGAGTGAAGGACACAGCACCTTCACACTTTTATTCCCCACTGGTTCAGCCCAACACCACATGTGTAATATAAATGTGTGGGGGGTGAACAGAGTGAAGACACTGAAAATGGGTTATTTTATATGTTCTTCACAGAAAATGAGCAACGGGCACGAAGTTTGAGGTTAAAATAATAACAAATCACAATCTTTTTTCCTTTTGGTAAACATTGAAAACAGGTCCCACAGACCCCAACACCACACAAGGGTTAAAAGGGATCTTTCAGAAGCAAAGAAGTCCTCAAATAAAACAAACTTTTTTCAGATTTTACCATTATCAACATTATATATGAAACAAAATCAGAAGATATGTGTAGGTCAAATTGGCAGTAAATGAAATAAATATGTGCGTTGTACTCATTGTACCCCTGATTCTGACGTGGTGGTGGTGTGTTAGTGTGTGTTGTGCTGGTACGAGTGGATCAGACACAGCAGTGCTGCTGGAGTTTTTAAACACTGTGTCCACTCACTGCCCACTCTATTAGACACTCCTACCTTGTCAGTCCACCTTGTAGATGTAAAGTCAGAGACGATAGCTCATCTGCTGCTGCACAGTTTGTGTTGGTCATCCTCTAGTCCTTCATCAGTGGTCACAGGACACTGCCCACAGGACGCTGTTGGCTGGATATTTTTGGTTGATGGACTATTCTCAGTCCAACAGTGACACTGAGGTGTTTAAAAACTCCAGCAGCACTGCTGTGTCTGATCCACTCAGACCAGCACAACACACACTAACACACCACCACCACATCAGTGTTACTGCAGAGCTGAGAATGATCCACCACCCAAATAGTACCTGCTCTGTGAGGGTCCATGGGGGTCCTGACCACTGAAGAACAGGGTAAAAGGGGGCTAACAAAGTATCAGAGAAACAGATGGACTACAGTCTGTAACTGTAGAACTACAAAGTGCACCTATATAGTAAGTGGAGCTGATAAAATGGACAATGAGCGCAGAAACAAGGAGGTGGTCATCATGTTATGCCTGATCGGTGCGTTAACTTCAGCACTGATCAGGTTACATGGGCTGAAGTGTAAGACTTATTCCCTTTTGGAATATGAAGATGGGGAATCAAATATGTCAGTAGATATGTCCAGTTAGTTTATTATAGTGATGCATGTCAGGAACTTGAGCTAAAGAAACTGTTAAGGTTTTCCTCCATGTCTAGATTAACATGATTAATATCAAATTCAAATTAGTCATTTTTGTCTATTCCAGCTCCTGAAACATCTGGGCTCTTAATCATAGGCTGTAGAATTCCGCCCACATTTACCAACACAAGCACATTCAAATATTCTCCAGTTATTTCACTTGCACCAGTGCCTATGCAAATGACTGAGCATTGATCCTGATAATGCCTAAAACAAAGAATGAAAAGTATATAAATACCATGTTCTGCCAGTGTTATGCAAGGAGTGTTAGCCTATGCAAAAAAGTGCAAAGAGCTTTGCTTAAACATTTGGTCATTTTAATGATCACTTCTTATTGGACAACAGACTTTTAGGCACATCATTCTGGATCCTGTCTGAACACAGTGCTTCTCGGGGAGTGCCTGAGGCTATCAGGAGTGCTTTTGCATATGAAAATTTTGTGTTTATTAAACGGCAAGCTTTCGACAAAAGCACTTTTTGTCCCACCAGGAAGCTCAGGTTCTGGCGAAGCTCTCGAAGGGGCGGGATCTCAAAACAAACAGCCAATACCAACACTGTAATGTGCCTGACTGACGTCTCAAATTTAGTCTGCTGTTTTAAATGTGCCGATCAGCGTTTCATGAGAGTCAATCATAAAGTAGCCCTGGCATTGAGGTCTCGATAAAATTTTTATGGTTTTTATGATCTTTTGATATTCGTAAAGTACAGATTTCTGATCTGTCTGGTCATTGTCTTTTATTTTTTCCTAAGTTAACTGTTAACAGTAATGCATTTAGTCACTTTTGTGAGAGTGTAATTTAGCAGCTATAGTTGCTTTTTGTGGCTGCTGGCAGACACTAATGTTAACCTTATTTTAGAAAATTAGCTAGCTGCTAGATCACTATTTAATTTTCAGAAGTTGGAATCAAGTAGTAGACTTATTTAGCTATGGCTGCCACAATAATAATAACATTGAAAAATGTAAATGTTATTGTTGAAAGTACAACCCCATTTCCAAAAAAGTTGTGACGCTGTGAAAAATGTAAATAAAAACAAAATGTAATGATGTGAAAATCATTTAAACCCTATACTTAATTGAAAATTTTACAAAGACAACATATCAAATGTTGAAACTGAGAGATGTTATTGTTTTTTGAAAAATATTTGCCCATTTTGAATTTGACAAACACGTTCCAAAAAAGTTGGGTCGGGGGCAACAAACGGCTGGTAAAGTTGTGTAATGCTAAAAAAAAAAAAACAAACACCTGGTGGTTGATTGGCAACAGTTCAGTAACATCACTGGGTATAAAAGAGCATCTCAGAGAGGCGGAGTCTCTCAGAAGTAAAGATGAGGAGGGGTTCTCCACTCTGTAAAAGACTGCATGATCAAATAGTGCAACAATTCAAAAATAACGTTTTTCAACATAAAATAGCAAAGAACTTCTGCTTTTCATCATCTACAGTACATAATATCATTAAAAGATTCAGAGAATCTGGAGAAATCTCTGTATGTAAGGGACAAGGCCAAAAACCAGTATTTGCTGGCCGTGATCTTTGGGCCCTCAGGCAGCACTGCATTAAAAACAGACATGATTCTGTAGTGGAAATCACTGCATGGGCTCAGAAACACTTCTGAAAACCACTGTCTGTGAAAACAGTTTGTCGCTGCATCCAGAAATGCTAATTAAAACTCTTAAATGCAAAGAAGAAACTGTAAACAGAATCCAGAAACGCCGCCACCTTCTCTGGGCCTGAGCTCATTTAAAATGGACTGAGGCGAAGTGGAAAAGTGTCCTGTGGTCTGACGAATCAACATTTGAAATTCTTTTTGGAAATCATGGACACTGTGTCCTCCAGGCTAAAGACCACTCAGCTTGTTATCAGTGCACAGTTCAAAAGCCAGTATTCATGATGGTTTAGGGGGCATTAGTGCATATGGCATGGGTGATGTGCACATCTGTGAAGGCACCATTAATACTGAATTATATATACACGTTATGGCAACATATGCTGCCATCCAGACGACGTCTTTTTCAGGGAAGGCCTTGATTATTTCAGCAAAACAATGTAAAACCACATTCTGCATGTATTACAACAGCATTGCTCCGTATTAAGAGTCCAGGTGCTAAATTGACCTGCCTGCAGTCCAGACCTGCCACCCACTGATAACACTTGGCACATTTTGAAATGAAAAATATGATAAAGGAGACCCAGAACTGTTGAGCAGCTGAAATCTTGTATCAAACAAGAACAGGAAAACATTTCACTCTCAAAACTACAGCAGTGTCTCCTCAGTTCCCAAATGCTTACAGAGTGTTGGTAAAGAAGAGGTGATGAAACACAGTGGTAAACAGGCCCCCGTCCCAACTTTTTGAAACGTGGTGTTTGCATCAAATTCAAAACGGGCATATATTTTTCAAAAAACAATAACATTTCTCAGTTTCAACATTTGATATCTTGCCTTTGTAGTATTTTCCCTTAAAGATATGGTTTACAGTATTGCATTCAATTTTTATTTACATTTTGCACAGCATCCCAACTTTTTGGGGTTGTAAAACAAACAGTGAAAACGCCAGACTACAATGCTATTCCACCCTGCAAATTATGCAAGGATTTTTAGATCCTGTATTGTAGACGATTCATCCCCTTGGAATTATAAGGTTCTAGCTACGTTCTGAGCAGTTTTGAAATACTGAGCTTCAAAATTTTTGCACTCCAAATGCAAAACTGATAGGTAGAACTCATCTCTTTCATACACAAAAATGTATTACAAATGTACAATCTCAACATCCTATCAAATTTGTAAATGAGGTTTTACTGGAACAGGTCAAGAACCTTCTAATCCTCAGAACTCACTTTCTGATTGGAGTTATAAGGTTCTATCTGGCAACACATAAAAAGAAGCAATGATTTTGAAGGAACACAAACAGTTCATTCGTAATTTGTTTTAAAACATAAATTAAGGGTTATAACAGAGTTTACATGTTAAATTTTATGGTTTCTAAAAAAGTTTTTATGACTTTTTTTTGTTTTAGGAAAAATCATCTTTTTCTTATTCAAAAAAGCAGGTAAAAGTCACGTATAAAAGTCAGTGCTAAATATTTTGCCCCATGCAGAGGCAAATTTTAGGTAGGAACCATTAGTTTAAGTTTAGTTTTAATTTAAGTTCCTTTAGGTTAGACAGCAACCAGCTACTGTCCCAGGAAGTAAGTGTAGCAGATCAGCATAAAGGTAGTTTGAGGTTTTGTTTTATGTTAGAAAAGTGAAAAAAAGAGAAAGAAGAAAAAAAGGTGGATGAATGAATGAAATTAATGTTTATGTTGTAATTAAGACCCCATCAATACAAATGTTCACTATTTAATTACCTTTAAGGCTTAATATTTATAAAACTTAAGACAATGAGACTTTCTGAAGAACTGCAAAATGTTTCAGCAACATGTTTTCATGTTTCACAAAGTTTTATAAACTTTTTCCCGCAGTCACTGAGGAGTGCGGTGACATGACATAGAAGCAGAACCTGATTGGTCCTCTTGTGTGTATTCAAAGTGCTGTTTGGTTCAAAAACAGAACCTTACAGAACTAACTCAACAAAAATTCTGGCTCCCTCTTTCTCAGCTGTCTCGTAGCAAACATGATGTCCACTTCAGCAAGTGCTCAGCTCAATAAAGCTGTGAAGCAGCAGTACATGGAGCTCCCACAGGGGGATACAGTGCAGGCCATGTACATCTGGATTGATGGGACAGGAGAGGGACTCCGCTGCAAGACCAAGACTCTGAACGCAGAACCTCAAACCATTGAAGGTACCTTATATTGAAATACAATCATGTTCCACAGTCGTTAGATTTCACATTCATATGAGGACGCAACAAACGGTGCATTAAATGCAAATAAAAGAAAGCAGTAAACACATTCATTAAGACATCGTGGGAATCATAAAACTTCTAACTTTGTGCTTTAAAAGTTTGTACAGCGTAAAAAATGCTAATTATTTGTTAGATATGTATTTCCAACATATCTGAATGTGGTATTTATCATTTCATTTGATATGCATAATTTTCTAATGATTCTAAATGAATACTTAACAATTTCTCTTATTACTGTTAAACTTTATCACCTCTCTGTAAATCACTTTAAGCTGCCACCAGCATGAAAAGTGCCATATAAATAAAAAAAATTAATAATTATTATTATTACTATTCTTCTTTTTCTTCATCATCTTCTTCATCTTCTTCTTCTTCTTATTATTATAATTATTATTATTAATTATTGCTTATATTTTCACTTTCAAGAAAAAATGGAGCTTAACTCAACTCCACATTATTCTGTGTAACTGTAGATATTTGATTGAGTAAAAACATAACTAGGAAGCATAGAAGTGGAGCAGGCAAGGAATATAAAAACCTATTTTTCTAAACACTCTTTTTTTGTGGGCCTCTTTATGCTGTTATTACTGTTTGTTAATGGCTGCACTTCTCTGCAGATCTCCCAGAGTGGGATTTTAGTGGCTCAGCCACTTACCTGTCTGAATACTCCAACAGCGACATGTACCTGATCCCCAAGGCCATGTTTAGAGACCCTTTCAGGAAGGACCCCAACAAGCTCATTCTGTGTGAAGTGCTCAAACATGACCGTAAACCTGCAGGTAAGAAAAATAATTTGAATGAATTTACTAGTAAAATGTCACGTCTCACTTAATTAAATGGAGTGTATACAGTGGAAAATGCACTTCATAAAGTCAATGTAAGTTGGAAATCATAACAAATTTTCATGATTTTTGAGTAAAACACATTATAAAACTCCCCAGTGGTGCAACTGTCTAAGCGTTGTCCCTCATCAAGAGATTGCGAGTTCGATCTCTGGTGATGCTACAGCCGTCCGTAGCCGGGAGTCCAAGAGAGCACAATTGGCCTCGCTCTCTCTGGGTGGGTAGGATGCCCACCCCCTTACTTTTTAGGGGGCAGTTGTGGACTGGAGGTTAAGGAACCAGCCTTGTGACCGGAAGGTCGCTGGTTCGATCCCCTCAGTCAACAGTGTGTGACTGAAGTGCCCTTGAGCAAGACACCTAACCCCCAGCTGCTCCCCGGGTGCCATGGATAGGGCTGCTCACCGCTCCGGGCAAGTGTGCTCCCTGTCCCCTAGTGTGTGTGTTCACTAGTGTGCATGTATGTGGGTGTTTCAGTGCAAGGATGGGTTAAATGCAGAGGTCTAATTGGTTGGCTAATGGTTCTGAATTCAATTCAATTCCATTCAAAAGAGGGCCTCTGCACTACCTATGCGTTTTTGGTTGATAATTAGTGAGGGGGGTGGGAGGGGTACATGATATAACTGGATCAATTTTTCCCCAGCGTCCTGACGCATGGTGATCATTACATTTTGATGGAAGATTGCAGAAGAAATGTGAATTTAATCCTGTAAATGATATTTGTATGACAAATCGTGCTTAACATGACCAGGGACATATGAACATATGAAATAAAAAGGTTTAAAAAAGTCATTTTTGATTTCAAGCTGACTTGAACGCCTTAATCAAACCTTTTTCTGTTTCAGAAACCAACCTTCGTCACACATGCAAAAAGATCATGGACATGGTGGAGAACCTGCATCCATGGTTTGGTATGGAACAGGAGGACACACTTCTTGGCATAGATGGTCGTCCTTTTGGCTGGCCCCTAAATGGCTTCCCTGGACCACAAGGTAAATACTGACCAGACCTAGGATATGTTTATCCAGCATTTAGGTCAGCATCTCAAATCTAGATGATCCAAAACAATTGCATAAAAGGCCAATGTAGCAGTCTGAATGGTTCTATACATGTTTGAACAGGCCCTTACTACTGTGGAGTGGGTGCAGATAAAGCCTATGGGAGAGACATCACTGAAGCACATTACAGAGCCTGTCTGTACGCTGGGGTTAAGATTTGTGGAAGCAATGCTGAAGTTATGCCTGCACAGGTAAATGTCTTAAAAAAACCCTTAAAGAACAAATAGAATATTGATTAATTTTAAAAATGCTACTCATAGTGTGCCATTTTTGTCACACTTCGGACAGCGATGGCAAATGATTGCGCTGGAATTGACCCTTTATTTTTGACCACTGACCAAGTGCTGGTTACCTGAACATATCTGCTGTTCTGCTGTTTCAGACTGAGTCACAGCTGGAAATATCCCAAGAATAAAACCCTGATGAAGCCAGTAATCGTTGTCATTTTCCACACTCTTTTCTCCTCATTGATAGAAAAGCTGTTAAGTGTATTAGTGCATTCTTTATTGTCATTCGGCTGAAATCACACCAAAAGCTGCATAATGTGGCACTGTGTTTTAGATATTCCTATTTTGAGCTACATCCTCCAGCTGAAACAGCTGGGTTTACCTCTAGTGCAACCATTTGACATCATTCAACTAACATGCATTGTGCATCTAAAATGATGGTGACTTCCATATGTCAAACACGAGGTCTGCAAGTCTTAGAAATCCCAGTTCTTCTTTTTACCCCTACCCCTTGTTTTTGAGTGTCACCCTAACCCCTTTGAACTGAGTTACACGGGGTAGTGGTTGAAATCTTCCCTCTGAAATGAGACCCTCAAAACATCACTTCATTAACAGCTACCAGCGCTGCTCTGTAGGCGGCCCTGCCAGTCTGCAGTGACAGCAGAGGAGGGTAAAGTTCAGCTCCTCACTGCTGGGCTTTAGTTACATTTAGGGGGTCAGAACTGCTGGACTATTTAAGGTGGAACGGGAAAGATAGCTAGCCAGCTACCGAGACATTAGCATGCTATTAGCAATATTTTTTTATGCTTGTTATGAAGAAAAGACCATAATACACTGAAACAACATTAAACTAAGATAATACAGTGGTTATCATAATTTTTTAACAGAGAAAATTCTCACATCTGTGTGTTTCTTTGGTCTCTTGTCAATCTTGCCGGCTTTTTTTCTTTCTCATAACACTCTGTTTGGAGTCTCTGAAAAACCTCCGTTTGGAGGCCATGTAGCCCCAACACTTCACCCTACACAAAACAGTGGGTATAGGGCTGAGTGATAGGGGCAAGGGGTGAAATGGGATTGGGCCTTAGTAGCCAGGGTTCCTTTTAAAATTACAGCATGACGTCTGCAGTTATGCTTACAATCAACACTCCTGTCTTTTTCTTCAGTGGGAATTCCAGGTGGGTCCTTGTGAGGGCATCAGTATGGGACACCATCTTTGGATGGCCCGCTTCATCTTGCACAGGGTATGTGAAGACTTTGGTGTTGTGGCCTCCTTCGACCCCAAGCCAGTCCCAGGCAACTGGAACGGAGCCGGATGCCACACCAACTTCAGCACAAAGGAGATGCGAGAGGAGGGAGGTTTAAGGTATACCGGTGGAAATAGACAATTAAAGTTCATTTTTAACTGTATTAGTGTAGCAACCATCTCTGCTCTTTCTGTGACTGCAGGCATATTGAGGAGGCGATTGAGAAGTTGAGCAGGAGACAGAGTTACCACAATCGTGCATACGATCCCAAAGGGGGGTTGGACAATGCCAGACGCCTGACTGGTCTTTCAGCCCCCGTCATCAACAAGTTCTCTGCAGGAGTGGCTAATCGTAGTGCTACCATTCGCATCCCACGCGCTGTAGCGCAAGATCAGCGAGGGTACTTCGAAGACCGCCGTCCGTCGGCCAACTGCGACCCATACGCCGTGACTGAGGCGCTAATTCGTACATGCCTGCTCAATGAGGAGGGAGAGGAGCCTGTGGAGTACTGTGAAAGTTAACTGTCTGTTTGAATACACGCCAGCGCCCCTGTTTTAATAGCTCAGTTTTCCCGGGGTAAATGTATTGTGCATTTTCTGACAGTTATCTGTGGTTTTACTGCCGCCTTATTTTATTTATTTAAGTATTTTACTGACTGTTCAGTCTAATGCTGGACTAGATTAAACTCTTCATCTATGGGTGTAATTTGGCTGTTTTTTTTAATGAAAGTGGGTAACTTTGTCCTGAGGTTTTCAGTATGCTCACTCCTAAAGTTCCTAGTTTTAAAAGGTGTTGCAATATAATATGTTAGCTGACATTCAGGGCCCTATTTCTGTGATTTTAGCTCAGGCACAAAATGTGTGGCTGTGACAGATAAACACTCTACCTATAAACACTCTATAAACACTCTGGGTACTCAATTCTGGGTAGGACACATCTTTGCACTCAGAACAGCATCATTTTTGTGGCATGGATACATCATGTCACTGCTGCAGATTTATAAACTGGACGTTCATGCTGCAAATTTCCCATTGACCACAAAGACAACATACTCCGTGGCCATACTGGGATTCACATAATAGGCAAAAGTACTCAGACAGGCTGTGGCATTTAAACAGTGCTCACCTTGTATTAGGGAGCTCAATGTGTGCCAAGAAAGCATTTACCACAAAATTACACTGCCACCACCACCAGCTTTAACTGTGGAAACAAGGCAGGCTGGGTCCACCAAATTCTGGTCCTAAAATATGCACGTCGTAGCAGAAACTGAGATTCATCAGGCCAAGTGAAACTTTTCCAGCCTTTAGCTGTCTCGTGTCAGTGAGCACGGGTCTGCTGTAGCCTCAATTTCCTGTTCTTGACAGGATCCAAGGCAAGCTTCTATGTGTTGTACGGTCAGAGATGCTTTTCTGATCACTGTTGTTGCAATGAGTAGTTAAATTAGCCTTCCTCTCAACTTAAACAAGGCTTCCACTCTTCTCTGACCTCTCTCATCAACTTGCATTTGCATTTTTTTGCCCATAGAACTGCCACTCATTGAATATTTGTGTTTTTCGCACCATTCTGTGTAAACTCTAGAGACTGTTTTGCTTAAAATCCCAAGAAATCAGCAGTTTCTGAAGTACTCAAATCATCCGTCTGGCACCAACAACCACAACATGGTCAAAATCCACCCATTCTGTTGTGTAATGTGAACATTAACCCCAGTGCCCACTGACAAGCCCAGGGTTTTATTACACACTTCTATAACCTAGGAATAGCTCAACCAGTTTGCATTGAAATCCCTGTAGTTACTGAATAATAAGCCTTAGTAGGTAATAAGCCTGGGGTTAATTGAATCTCAGTTGTATAAAGGCGTTGGTTTAGAACAAGAGTGGAAAGAATACTGGTCACTGTAGAGATAATTTACTTGACCACAGGTAAATTACTCAAGTAAGAGTAAATGAGTAATTGAGTTATTTTTTTGTATAATCACCAAGTTGACTTGGCCATATCACTGGAAATAATACGAACAAACTAAAGCCAATCATAATATTTTGAGTCCTAAGACTGATCACAATACGCTCTGCTAGTGCACATTTACACATTTACACATTGTAAAGAACAAGGTTTGCATTACACTACGTGCATTTCATGGTTAGATCTTATAAAAGGCTTCCTACTTTATCTGTCCCTGACAAAGGAGTTAATTTTTTAATTAATTATTAATTATTTAATTAAGTCTATTTTTTATTTGGCCTTTAAAAATCATATTGCTTGATTAAGAGTCCTAATAACAGGCAGATTACTCAATTAATAATGTAATGTTTAGTGCCAGTGCTACTGCCCATTAGCTCCTTGAACGTTAGGTTATGTTAATAGATGTAAATCTCTACAGACGGTAAACTTTACATTCAGAGCCTTCAAACTGTATTCACTGATACATGTATATTACATTTCTACTGTTAAAATCATTTAGTGTTGATTTTCTTTACTGTTTTTTGTTCCTCCATTATTCTTTAATTCTCCATTAACCTTTTTGAAAAGGGTTCTATATAGCACCAAAACAGGTTCTTCTACTGTTACAATGTCAAGCTTGTAACAATAGAAGAACCTCTTTGGCTGCCATTTAATTCGGACAGTAGCATAGGGTAGATTGGGGGTGTCAATCTCAACCAGTAAAAGGGCCACATTAAAAAACTCATCAGATCTCAGACCAGCACAATACACACTAACACACCACCACCACGTCAGTGTTACTGCAGTGCTGAGAATGATCCACCACTCAAACAGTACCTGCTCTGTGAGGGTCCATGAGGGTCCTTCTTCTTCAGTGGTCTTCTTGGTCTGGGCTCGGACTTGCCTCTACTTGTCTTGACTCCAATACCAGCAGGTGATACCAGAGCTACCAGAGTTGTCAAGGATATGTGTCGTCAAATGCATGCGTGGTCAAAGTATCATTGCTCAGAATTATTTTTAAAAATACAGGAAAAACATGTTTTACATTTTCTACACATTTATTTTTAAACGCAGTTGTGATTGAGTAGGAGTCCATTTATCGTTTTTCAGACGAGTTGATGTGCAACCGAATGCTATATTGGGCCAATGAATAATTTTCATGTTCTAAGTCACCTTATCCACGTATGAAACGTCCTGATCTGTCTGAGAAACTCCTTCATGTACTTTGAAGTCAGCCAGGAGTCATTCAGTCTGTTGTGGTCTTGTGAGGCATCAACCTTGTCTGGGTGGGCAAGCCTCAAGGGCAGAGGGTCTTTGAGGATAAAGTTCAGCACTGGAGATTCAGAAATGGTCAGATGGTTTTGAGAGTGAGGGTGGGTGGGTCATCAAGCACTTCAGGGTCTGATAGTTATCCTAGTCTGAACCCTTGGGTCCATCTCTGACACCACTGAAGAAACAATACATTTTCGCTGTACGGCAAACTTTTACACCATTGTGGGATTCTCATGCAAGTGGTGTGGTTAGTGCATGCTTAATCAGATTTCAGTCCCGCCTAGACACTGTTCAGACACCAGGGGGCAGCATTACACAGTGCTAGAGCAGGGAGGCGATCCTCTCGAGTAGGGGTTCCCAGCTCTGGGGTCTGAGTTATTGTGCCCATATTGTTTGTAGACTATTTTTATGATACTTGCAGAGTTCTATAAGTTCTACAAGTACTGTTTATACCTATGATATACTCAGTAAAGTGTATCATGTCATAATTTATCACAATAATGACAACATATCATCACATTGCCCACCCTTACACATTCATAGATCCTACATTGCAAACATACATAACATCAGCAGTGAACATCTATGGAATACTTAATAAACTGTTTAACAAAATGATTTGTTTCACATGTGTAAATCAAATTATTCATAACAAAAAATTAAATATATTAATATTAATTAAATATACTAGTTGAAATTTAATTTTCAATTTAACTGTAAATGAATTGCTGAATTCCTAAGATCAAGAAAAATAGGAAATAATAGCTTAAACATCTTGCCGTAGTAATTAGAATTGCAGCATGTTGGACCAATAAGATTGGTGTGTCTAATAGAGTGGACAGTGAGTGGACACAGTGTTCAAACACTTCAGCAGCACTGCTGTTTCTGATCCACTTGTACCAGTGCAACATGCTTTAACATGCCCTAACAAGCCAACATCACATCAGTGTCACTGCAGTGCTGAGAATGATCCACCACCCAAATAATACCCACTCTGTGGGGGTCCTGTGGGGGTCCTGATCACTGAAGAACAGGGCGAACAAAGTACGCAGAGCAACAAATGGACCATACTGTAATTGTAGAACTACAAGGTGCACCTATATGGTGGGTGGAGCTGATTAAATAGACAAAGTGTGTCGATCAGGCATTTCAAACTGGGCACCATCTGGGCCAAAGTGCTGCGGGATCAGCGTTTACCCTCATCTAACACTCTGAATTCAGTTCATTAATGCCTTCCTAATTAGCTGATGAGCTGAATCAGGTGTGTTTAATGAGGTACGTTGCTGAAGTCTGCAGTGTTTTGGCCCACAAAGACTGGAGCCTGACACAATGTAGATATAAGGAGGTGGTTTTCTCAAGTTTTTAAACCACATTGTACATGTAAATGTCACACACAGAGACACAAAAAGGAGGTTTGGTTCAATGTTTAGATCTCAAATGCAAAATCGCCATGCTACTGATGAAGATATGATGATAACAGTACTGTAAAGGGTCAGCCTGTGCTGTCAGCTGCCAGCAGAGGGCGATGGCAGCAAGGCACTGTTACTCCAGGAGACTCATAATCCCAGAATACCAAGGGGTAATCAGTGCTAACCAGGTCCGCACGCTGGTACCGGTATTTTGTTCCGATATGTGGCTGCAGCACCTCTTTGTCACACCTTTGTAGAAGGGTGACCGGTACGGTACTTAGACCAGGTGGGTATTTAGAGAAAAGAAACAGGAAAAAGAGAAGGAAAGCATAAGAGGAGAAAACAGAGCACTGCTCTAGGCCAGTGGACTGAGAAGAAAAGAGAAAAAGGAAAGAAGGAAAAGAAAACTTTGTTTTGATTTGAGACAAGAAAAAAAAGAAAAAAGTGAAAAAAAGAGAGAAAGAGAAAAGAAAAAGGCTGAAACATAGTCAGCTTCCTATCTCTCCTTTTGAGAGGTCTTATGGTTTGGTCATTTATTCAATTTCCTGAATTTATCCTTTGTTTGTGTTACGGCATTTTTGGCATCTTTCTTTGATTTTCCCACCTTTTTTCCCACCATTCAGAGGGGTGAAATTCCACTCGTCACCTGTGCTCCCTGGTGGCGCAGTGGTAGGGCGCTGCTTTGAATCCGACTGGAAGTTACTCCCCTCCAACAGTACACAACACACTCACTGTCCCCAAATCGTTATTTATTTATTACACTACCTCACATTATAAAACTACCTCTAAAGTGAATAAATAAATACTTCTTATTATCTTTTTTAAGGCCTGTCCTCATGGGATCGTCCTGTGACAAGTATGTCATTCACTTACATCTTCAGAAGACACAAGTTTTCTTTCGA